GATGAAATAGAAGCAGGTACAAAAAAAAGCAATATGGAATACAAAAGGAAAGGCGTAAATACACTCTCCGACCTGCTCATTATACTGTTTTGTTTGGAACAATCCAGCAAGGTAACAATGTCAGATGCATGGGGAAAAAATTGGTTTATATGTTTGAAATGAATCCTTCAAACGTGGCCCGTCGAGTTGGTATTTTCGGATCAAAAGAAAATTTTAAACAGAAAAGGAAATCAATGTGTAGAGCAAAATGATGAAAGTGGGGGAGATTGTCCATCTCTGAGAAGGACGGAAATACATTTCAAAAGCAAACATAGAAGGGGATTTCGTTTAGAATAAAATATCGACCATCTTGTTTTGATCACCTTTAATCGACATTAGACTAAATAAGCTTAATACTGAAAACGTTGTGTACAGAAAAGCGAAACAGAAGGCAGGCGATTGCCGAATTATTCGGAAAAACTTTGTCATATCATACGTTATGTTCTACCAAGTTAAATTTGAAGAGATGTACTCAGTTAATGTTTCGCATCAAACTTCAGATTTATGAAACTTTATAATTCACAATAAGGTTTCTATTTTAAATACACTTTAAAATTGTATTTATAATATTATTCAATACAGACAACAAATGCAGTTTAATTTAGTTTGATAACTGATTTTAGTATGGAAGTCGTCAATGCCATTTAAAATATCAATATGAATATTTTGTTTCATGTGTAAAGATTTTAATACTATTTTAATTTGGGTCAATGGAGATTTTTAACGCTTATTTATGTTTTACTTAGCTACGATGTCTTTCAATGAAGAGATCAATTTATAATTTGATATTATCATATAAATACTCATGTAAGATGACTGATTCTTAAGTTTTGATGGTTTTCAAAATATTTACTGTTTCAAATATGCATTGCACTATACTTATAGACACTCTCTTTTTTAGAAACTTAATCTGTAGTTTGTATGCAATCCAATCAATGTGTAATTTTCTCTCGAGTAAGTAATTGCAAGCTCTTTAGAGATGGTTTTATTTGTAGAATGAGAAAATATTAGTTTCAAACTCTGGCATACAATACACACAGACATCCATTTCCAATGCTCTCTGAAGAACAAGTAGGAAACATTCAAAGTTCCCAATGCATACACAGAGAAAACATTTTCATGTATTTTTCTCTTTCAAATTTAAGTATGTTTGGTCGTAAACTAGATTTTCTTGTTACCAAATATTTATACTTATTGTTCCAACATTTTTATATTACACATTTTCTGGTCAAAAAAGCTTTACTCTTTTATTTCTAGCTACTCATCCTCTACGAAGTACAAAAAGAAAAATCGAATATCGAAAAATTTTATCTCATAATTATCTCCTTTGTTTATCTTATAAATGCAGTTCTGTTTAACAAGTAAATGAAGAGTATGATTTTTAGATCACTTCAAACAGGACTGACAAATAATTCCTTTAAATAAAAAAAAAATTGAACGCATTTTTCAACGTATGAGTACACGACCACAGAATTTGTTCAAAGTCAAAAACAAAATCCTCATCACGTTTTAGAGATCAATATATACTTATGATGTACAGGTTTCTCGAGTTTAAAGTTACCTCATCTCTAGATCTATCCAAGTACATTACTATTTAAAAGATGTCGACCAAAACTCCTTGCAGGTATGTCCTCTCTTTAATAACACTCCTTTTGTGTGAGTCGTTTTCAATTTCATCAGATATTGACACTCTAATGGAGTTTTACAACACCTTGAAAGAACTTCCCTTGTCAAATATTCGTCCAGTTCGAAACCAGAGTCACGTCGTCACAGTTTACATGGATCTGATCCTTCACTCAGTTGTATCGTACGACGAAAAGACTGGGACCCTCTCTTCCTTAATTGTTGCGAATATGATATAGACTGATGAATTGGTTTAGGGATTATTTTTCTAAAGAATTTGAGGATGAAGTTCCTATTCCCGTGTCTTTGATCTGGAGTCCAGGTTTTTCCATTTACAATACAGTAACAGAGGACATATCACTGAAAATTAGTGAAAATCAGTTGCATAAGAACGCCTTTTTATCTCCTGATGGTAGAATGCGAAATCTGATCGTGGGTTTATCTACTACGAAATGTGACGCAAATATGTTCTATTATCCTATGGATGAGCAAAGATGCGAAATACATTTTGTGAGTGAAGAACCATTCAACAAAGTGGTAATTAGGCCAACACGAGGCATGTATCTCGGAGGATCAACTGCTCTACAAAAGAACGAAGAATGGGAAATTGCGGATGTGACGTGTAAAACAGACATGATTTCTAACTATTCGAAAATAATAATTTCTTTCAAAATGACCAGAAAGTCGATGCATCTTTTCATGAACTTTGTGGTCCCACTAATGTACCTTTGTTTACTGAATCTGTTCGTATTCCTTCTCCCAGAGGCCTCCGGGGAGAGGGTATCATACGCGGTGACATTGCTTCTGGCTCTTATTTTGTATCTGAACATGATAGCTGACCGCCTACCAAACACTACACCTGTTAGTCTTATCTACATCAATATTGTCATCCAATTAAATACAAGTTGCTTTGTTGTGCTGATGACAATATTAACTCTCAGGATGTATGAAAAGTCGCAAACTGACCAACCAGTTCCATGGTTTTGGAAAGTGTTTGTGTCAGTAACATCAGCTAAGTGTCTTCGAAAACCACAACGTAAGATACACGTCATAAACGTGAAGGAGGCAAAAGTAAAAGACGAAAAGGAAGATGAAAATGACGATGAAGAAGTGCAAAAATCATTTGATAACAAGACAGGAGTCACGTGGGTTGACGTATCCCGTGCAGCAAATCAGTTTCTTTTCTGGATGTTTTTTGTTTTGTTAGTTATTCAGTCTGTTGTGTTTTTCGTTTTGTTAATGTGTCGTCCCGTGCCATTGTAATTGTAAATCACGCCTTTCATCATGAAGTAGAATAATTAGATGTTTTCTTTGGATGTTTTCTTGATGCTTATAAATCCCTCCTGTTAAAAGCCGAGTCTATCGCAGTGCAAGTTCAAAGTGATATTCATTGGTAATTACATTCTCCTGAATGTGGAAGGTGGATGATAAGGAACAATGATGAATAGAAGAAAAAAATACTGTAGTCAAAGCGAATCATGAACAGGAAAAAAACATGCACCCCAGAAGTAGACTCAGGAGCCCCGGAGGAGTAACCATTTCGCGTCGACCGGTCGCACCCGTCGTGAGCACTTTGTAGTCAAATCTATTTCAAAAACAAGGACCTTACAAATGGTATGAAACATGGCAAACAAATAAGGACACCACAATGTGTTTTACAATCGTAATTTTGCAAAAAGCTGACTTTAACGACGTTCGATCCTGATATTTAAAGTCTTAAACTTTTTTGCCAAGTAAATTTTTAGTTTCTACATACATAGTTTAATTAAAATTCAAAGCAAAAAATGGGGGTCAAAACGCTTCTTTTGGCGCTACAGTACATTTAATATGACCTTCTTGCACTGAAATTTGTGTCTTAATTAAAAATTAAATTTTTGACGTTTTTCCCTCCAATATTTTTTCCTGTTAAAGCATGAAACAAAATGAACTCTAAGTTTGTTTAAAAAAAGACACTTAAAAATTGTGACTAAGAAAAAGTTTCAAATTGCCTGCATAGTCAATTATTTGACCTTTCTGCAATAATAATTAAAAAAAAGATTTTTCTGGCATTGAAAATTTAATAAGCAAGAAAATTATTTTAAAGTCTTAAACTTTTTCTGATTTTAAGCAAATAGGTCAAATTTATCTTGAATATTTAGGAAAGAATATCAAAAGTGGGGGTATATGATGAAATTTTTCAGATTCTACTAAAAATGTGTCAATTTTACGTTAAAATTGGCTCAATTTTTTCCCGGATTTTCAGAATATATTGACTTTATTTGTCACACTTTGTTGATAGAGTACATAAGAAATAATTTAATAGATATTTCAGAACCAGCATAACACATTTCACTGCAAAAAAACAGCTTTGTGTGCAACCAGGATGGAAAAATAGGAATCCAAAATTAACAGTACTGTTATGGTTCAAAATGGAAAAACTGAACATTTTCGTCTAAAAAACCTTCCGTCACAAAATATAGTCCCTAGCTTATTTCTACTTGAATGCAATTTAATCGCGGTTTTTTCATTGGATATAGTTAAATATGCACTGTAGATTTCAGATTTAATGTTAGAACTTAAAAATGATGCAGAATTTATAAATAAAGGACCAGACCAAAATACGCTCAAAATCTCAGGATCGAACGTCCTTAAATTGGTTTGAATCCATGAATTATAAACTTATTTGCCAGAAGCTTATCTAAGTTTAAAAACTGGTCGTGTTCAGAGCATCCTTTCGAGTATCAAATCAGTAAGGAGACATGAACACGCAGATGAAGACATAAACACTATAGGCTACATATTACTACATAAATAAGAAAACTTGAGCCATTTAAATTACTTTGTCAAGCAGTTAGCTGTAGACCATTTTCGTCTCATGGCATGCAGTTAAATATCTCGGAGATCTGGCAGAACTGTAGTTTATTCTGTTTTGAGTGTATTTGGATATATGAATTCGATATACGAAGGATGTACACATGACTATTGTTAACTGATAAATCTTCGATATATCTTTATGTTGAATTGAATTGAAGAAAACAGCAAGTGCATTTTTTGTTGCCCAGAAGTTTTTGAAAGAAATCTACTTTATAGATTATGCTAATAAAGGAGCACAGTTAGTGACTATAGGATTTCCAAAAGAATATTGGAAGTCCTGATCTTCCAAAGCTACATACATGTAGTTATGGTCAATAAAGAACTCCAGCATCATTTTAAATATCAACAAATTAATTTTCATTCATACATGTATAACAAAAGGCAGCTGGTTCATGGGCATTATAGCTCACCTGAGCACCATGTAACAACTTTCCAACTATTGAATCTGGTTCGTGTTTTAAACCAGAGGACCTGACATTCACAATATTGAAAGATGCACCATTGTTCATCATAACTATAGGCTAGGTATGCTAAGCTTGGTTATTTGATAGCCATAGGCTGAGTAAGATAACAAAAAAATGCATTTCAACTAATCAGTACTAATCAGCAATAATCAGTACTGCCCCCAATTTAACCCAAAGGAACTCTCAACCTTAGCTGGGGCCATGCATTCTACAATTTGAGAAAAGGCACTCTTGCTTATCATAAATCTTTGAATAATACCAAGGAGCAGATTTCAAAGCATTTATTCATTTTCAGTATATAATCATTAGAACCCCCCTTTACGGTATCCCCACTCAGGGGCCTTGAAATTCACAATTCTGGAAGAAGGAATCATAAATTTCACAATTTTTGTTTCCCATCACTTACAGATGCTAATTACCAAAATTGGTTCAGTGATTTCAGAGAAGAAGCGGAAAATAATCAAATGTTAACGATGGATGAAAACAGATAGCAATTGGTCATTCAGGTGACCAAAAAAGTAACAATCAAACTAATGAATCTAATAAAGAGTATGAATTGTAAACAGGGAAAAAAATCTAGACCACTGAAAGCACCTCAGAGGTGGGATCATGTGCCACTGAGAAGTAAACATATCTGTCAAATGCTTATGTCATCATGAACTCTTTGGCTTGATCAATCCATATAAATTATTTACAACTTCACACTTATACCCGTATGCATATTCTAAGTTAAAGATGATAAAGATCATAAAGTAAAATAAGAAATTCATTACTTTATTTGCTATTATGCATTAGTCATAAATATTGCAGAATTAAATCAACTTTTCATAGGAATAAATTACTAAACTTTCTCAGTTTCATGAACATACTGGCTTTTACTTCGTATAATTACTTGTAAAATCACTCTACTAAATTTTCATTATAGAGAGAGAAAGAAAGAGAGAGAGAAAAATAGCATCTATTATAAGGAAAATTACTAAAAGTGCTTATCATAATTTTAAACATGACAATTGCTTCATATTTTTTCAACTTGTAACAGCTTAATAAGTAAAAGATAAATCGATCTATAAATAAAACATAACAAAAAATAACAATTAACAAAACTATAAGTTAATAAGCACTTTTTATGAACATCTAGTACAATTAAAAATCTCAAAGATAATTTCCGTTTTTGGCACCAAATTGTAAATATTGTAATTATTTGATATCTATAGCAATGTACACTTTGTAAATTACGCTACAATTTATATAGGATGTTTAAAAACATCTGAACAAGTCAGTGCAATAAAGGATGGGGATTTAAGCTGGAAGCAATCAAATTTTCTACCTAGCACAAAGTTTTCTTCAAAAAGAAAATCTAGAATTAAATAAAACAAACTTAAGCTAATATCCCCCAAAAAATTTAAGTAAGCTGTCCTTGGCAATTTAGGCAAAAGAATACCAGTTCTTAATTAAAATTTATAATCATGTAAGCAGATTTTGTCATGACCTAACTTTTCCCCATTATTTCAGTCATACCTTTTTGCTCCTCATGCAAAGTATTCAAAGTAATGCCCAAGCATTTAGACATTCATTCATACTAAATCTTATTAGCTTTGAAAAAAATAAATAAACACACTAAAAAGATTTTAAAGTCAAACAACCATTTTCAATAAT